GTAGGGGACTGTGATAGGAATCTAACGATGTAAGTTTTAAAACGATTGAACGAAATTTTTGGATTTACACTAAAAAAATCCGAAACCCTAGAAAATGGTGAACATGTGTTTTTGTTCAATTTTATGTTGGAATTGGTGTTCAGGAATGTGAATCTTGACTCTAGGTACCACAATCGGGAGTTAGAATGAGCTATGAAAAGCTCGGGAAACGAGAAAAACAAGGCGAAACTCTGCTGAAATTTTCTAAAATCTAGTTAGTAAGCAATGAGTTAGGAATTAGATTCTTGAGAATGAATAACAGATTTAGGGCTCGGAAATGAATAGATAGAAGTTCAGAAACTGAGACACACATATTTGTGAAAATTACCTCCTAAGCTAGAAATATTGGTCACCGAATCGAATTCGGATGCGGAAGCGTGGGAGAGGCGGATTGTGTATAACAAAAATTTTCATAAAACATTTGAGATACTCTATAGATTATATTAATTTATGCACGAATAAATTAATCACATTAATTTATTTATTAAAAACTCAATTAGGAATAATACCTGGTGGCCGATTAGGATGATAACTTGAGTTCTTTGACCTCGAACAATCCTTGCTCCAAAACCTTGTGTTTAGAAAACCAATTTCTTCCACGTCAATTCCTAGAATTCACGAAGATGTGTGTGTGGGCACACCTGAGACAAAACGGATTAGAATAAACACTCGAATTTCTACAAACACGAACGCATGCACGATGTGGAATTTTTAGAGAAAAAATTTTCCTTCCAACAATAAGAGAATTTCGGTCACAATAAAATATTAGGTCAAAACATTGTTCAAAAATTGTGTCTCACAATTTTCTATCATTATCTTATTTATAGAGTAGAAGTCAAACTTCTAGAAGGAATCCAATCTCTATCTCCAAGATAAATCTTATTAATTATCTCATATTTGAATTTGGAACAAAATCTCCTCTTTTCTTTTATCCATTATGGCTGGCCATTCATAGGGGATTTTATCCCTGTGTAGGTGCCAATATCAGATAGGAAAGGAAGAGAAAATCATCATTTATCCTGCAGTCTAATTTTGACTCAAATTCAAATTCCAATTTAAGTCAAACTTAAATTAATTTGAATTCTAAATTGAACAACTTATCAAATAAGTTTAAAAGGATAAATTTAAATTATGTTCACAATTCAAATTCAAACTTAAATAATCACATTATTTAAATAATAATTAATTCTCAATTAATTATTTTCGAGTGTTTAATTTTAGAATTCCGTAATTCTAAAATTCCCATTTTGCCCTTTGTGTTTGGTAAAATTACAAGGACGACGCGGGGACTAATAGACCTATAATCCCGAGCTTCAATAAAATTAATAATTAATTAAACACTTTAATTAATTAATTAATTCCAATAGTTACTCCACTATAAACTTGGAATTGCACTTTCGAAATTATAGACATAAATTACTTCTAAACTGTGAAGTGTCCATTTGATATAATCACTGTATATAGATCGATCCTCCATAAATAATTCATAATTAGAGCTAGGTAAAATCCGTTAACCTCTCTAATTATATATTTATCATTGAGTACCATTGATTCTCTAATGGACAGTGATTCATAAAACACATTCATGAATCGGAGCTCCTACTAGTCCAAGTACCGAATCAACCCTCAAGAGAATTATTTATCTACTTATTTCTCAAGAAAGAATGGATTTCATCTCTTATAATAACATTCTCAGCTACCTACTTCATCATGTCTCCAAAATACAAGGAATGAGATTCAGGATATCAGAATCCGTACCGAGTAAATCAAAAGACACAAATCCATAAATAGGAGTCTGTTAAGAACTCAAGATTAAGATCATTCTATATATGACCATCGGTAGACTCAATTAGAATTTCTATACTTAACAGAAATTATTAGAAATTCATATTGTGTCTGTGTCCTTGTTCCACATAATCTCATTATGCGAAATACACTCATTCAATATCTCACCATATTAACAGTGCGAATAACACCATTCCATTGTAAATGGGAATGACATACATTAATAATGTTTTAATTAAAGATTCTGAACTTTAATTAAATTCATTATGAATAATATTTTTGATTATTATCCTTAAATATTATCCTCTCGTATATAACACTTGTATACAATGTTTAAAGTCACATAAATAATCATGGAATTTTCATTGATATTCATAAAATATTCACAAATATATACACATAAAAGTGATGAATAAACTCTTTTATTAAATAAATAATAAATATCCTATTACATCTTATGCTTCTAGGACACCATTCCCAACAAGAAATTCAGCTTAGAGGAAAACGGTTCAGAAATGAGTTTGAAATTAGATTTAGGAATCTAAGTATGAAGAATTTTGATTTGAAATAGGAAGTTAATGCCTATTTCCATGAAACAGGTTTTGGCATGAGACCGAAGCAACAAGAAAGAACTTCCAGCAAGCAGGGATATTAGCGGATTATCTGTAAGTAGAGACATATATGTTTGTCTGGACTCGAGTAAACTGTAGTTAGACTTAGAATTATGAATTTGCTTATATTCCTAAGTCGATGTGATATTAAGTGTTTGGAGGGCTTAGTGCCCTAGATTGCAGAATGGCGACATGTGGTTACCCTAATGCTCAGTTTAAGTTATGCATGAAGTATTATGCATTTTATCTTATCATGTGCACGTAGAGAAAAAAAAACGTTGCATATCATTTAGTAAAGTTTTTTAACACTTTGAATTGTAAACCCAAAGTTCAGTAATGTAAAGAGACTGATGGGTCGTCGGCCTCCCAAGGGAGGAAATCTCAAAGAGTAGAGATTCCGGCTAGACCAGACAGTAAGTAGGACCCAGGCCCACAGTCGTAAGAACAGAAAGATAAAAAGCAGTTTAAAGCATGTTTCATATGAGCATATTTGCATCATAACTCTTAATGTAGTTTTACTAGTTTATGATGTGTTCATGTTTATATTTGTTGAGCGTTAACTCATCAGTTTACTCGTGTGCATGTAACCCAGGTAAACAGCCAGTTATACAGTAGTGTTGCTTAATGGACTGGCCGATGTAAAGTGGCGGATATGTCATGGGAACACGGGAGTGGTGTCTACTATGCCCGCTTAGGAAAATTCCGCTGTAGAGTAATGTAATATAGAACACTAGTATGTTTATTCAGTTTTAAGAAAGAGATGCTACAGTCATTGTCTTAGTAAAGAACAACGGACTGTAATAAGTAAGACAAATTTTCGGGGACTAGTTCCATATATGAATTCTTAAAGTATTAGTAAGATATACTATTAGTATAACAACATAACATGCTAGAAACATGTTAAGAACCCAAGAGTTAAAGTAAAGAAAGAAAAAAAATATTTCACTTGCGTATAGGTGTAAAATAAAGAGGCTATAGTCTAGTAATTAGTAATGGATTAGACTATAACTCGGCCTATTAGTAGTAGTGTAAGGTTGGCGACCCGCCGCTAGGGCAGGAGGCGTCACATTTACTATAAATGGGTTTGGGTCATAATGGGATTGGCACGATTAACACGATTATAAATGGGTTGGGTTATGGTTGACCTCCTAACAGGAAGTGACACAAATAGATACGATTAACTATATGTGTCATCTGCAATATAATGATATGTGATATAACATAAAAGTTTATATGACATATTAAATACAAGTAATGTGAATTTTAATATTTCTAGGTAAGATTCATTTACTTTTCTTAAAGGAAAAAATAAATTGACCAATAAGCATGTTATACCTGTCTTGACCGTGTTAAATAAGTCTTTATTATATTAGTTATTTATTCAACATATTTATTTAAACGAGTTATGCAGGTTGACATGATTAATAAATGAGTTGTGTCTGGGTTGACATTTTTGACACGTTTAATAAATAGGTCGTGTTTGAGTTGATATTTTCTGACACGATTAATAAACGGGTTGACACGAACACGAATTGCCACCCTTATCTATTCCTAATAGCTTCAAAAGAGGATGAGGAGGCACTAGACAGTGCATCCTTATGTGTATATATAATATAGGACAAGATTAGTAATTGGTTTTTTTTCCTGTACAATGAACTATAATCGGTAGTTTCTTTTTCCCAATTAAAAAAATACAGTTACTATTTTTATAAGTAAAAGTAATTTTAAGAGATTATGTGTGTGTATACACACACACATTTACATTAAAAAATACATTAATATCAGAGAGGAGGCGGGGTGGTGAGCACTTCCCCCGTCCTCACCCCGCAAAAAATTGATGATTAGATTTTGTCCCCATCACTATCCCCATCCTAATAATTGTGAACAGGGTGGGACTTAGTCCTCGTGAAGATTATTATCATCCTTTTTTTATTTTTTTTTCTTTATCAACTGATTTTTTTCTATACATAAAATTATAATTTTGCCAGTATCTTAATTACGTTGCTAGTATATAAAAAAAATTATGTTGCTAGTATGTTAATAACTTTGAGAAAGAAAAAATTTTAAATCTTACTATTTCAATATTTACGTATTTGATATTGAGCAAGTGATGTCAGAATTTTAGGGATTTGATTCGTTGAAATAAGGTTAATGGTTCCACATATCGTGGGATAAAATATCTACTTATTTCTTATATATTACCTTTAAATCTGATTCGTACAAAATAATATTATTATAAAGGTCAATAATGTCATCATACATATGCATTAAGCCAAATGTAGAATATTCAAAAATTGTAGTCATATTTTAATTCCGAAAACATAATTAAGTCATATGTCTCGTGAATCATAAGTCATCTCTCTAGCTTTTGGGCCTTGGAGCATTTGTAGTATATGGGCCTGGTGATAATTATGGCCCAACATAGTTATAGCCCATCCAACCCAAACTTCTATTTTCTTTTTTTTTGAAGATGAAAGTTTTTAATTTTACCCCCAACTGTTATAAAGAAACCTATAATTATAAATTTCGTACGTTTTTATTAAAAACTTTAATTTTACACCCCTCTCTCAATGAGAAGCCACACATTGTGCAAATTCGACTCAAAAACCTTGGCACAACTTATTCAAACATACGCCCAAACGAAGCAGCTAAACAGAGGCAAAGAGTTTCACGCTCAGCTTCTACGCGCCAATTATCCAATATGCATTTTCATGACCAACCACCTAATCAATATGTACTCCAAATGCGGACTTATCGACTATGCCCATAACCTGTTCGAGAAAATGCCTAAACGAAACATAGTTTCTTGGACAGCAATGATCACTGGATTTTCTCAAAACTCGAGGCTCTCGGAAGCTGTGAATGTCTTATCCCAAATGAGAATTGCCGGGCAGGACCCGACCCAGTTTGCGTTTGCGAGTATCATTAAAGCCTGCGTGTCCCTTGGGTTGATTAAGATTGGGAAGCAAACACATTGTCTTGCTTTGAAATATTGCCTTGATTGGAATATATATGTGGGAAGTAATTTAGCTGATATGTACTCGAAGTGCGGGATGATAATTGAAGCGTGCAAGTTCTTTGAGGAGATGCCATGTAAGGACGCAGTGTTATGGACGGCAATGATCGATGGATATGCGAAGAATGGCGAGTTTGAGGCTGCTTTGTTAGCTTTTAAGAGGATGAATAAGGATGGAGTTATGATTGATCCTCATGTTCTTAGTAGCACATTAAGTGCTTGTGCAGCACTGAGGGATCATAAGTTTGGAAAGTGTCTTCAAACGAGTGTTGTGAAGTTAGGATTTGAATTAAAGGTTGTTGTGGGCAATGCTCTTCTTGATATGTACTCAAAAGCAGGAGATATGGAAAGTGCTTCAAATGTGTTTGTGGTTATGTCAGAGCACAGAAATGTTGTGTCTTTTACCTCCTTGCTTCATGGGTATTGCAAAATGCAGTGGTTCAATGAGGCTCTTGCCGTATTCGTTGACTTGAGGAGGCAGGGTATTGATCCCAATGAGTACACTTTCTCAAGCTTGATCAAGGCTTGTGCCAGCCAAGCTGCACTTGAACAAGGAGCCCAGCTTCATGCCCAAGTGGTTAAACTTAATCTCGATGTGGATTCTTATATTTCTGCCTGTCTTCTGGACATGTATGGAAAATGTGGGTTGCTTGACCATTCAATTCGAGTATTTAACGAGACTAGAAACCCAACTGAGATTGCGTGGAATTCCTTACTGAATGTGTTTGCACAACATGGCTTAGGAAAAGAAGTCATGGAACTGTTTAATAAAATGGTTCTTGTGGTGAAACCGAATGCAATAACATTCACCAGTCTTCTGACAGGGTGTAGCCATGCCGGGTTATTTAATGAGGGGTTGAACTTCTTCTATTCTATGGAGAAAACATATGGAGTGGTCCCTAGAGAGGAACATTACAATTGCGTTATCGATCTACTTGGTCGTGCTGGAAGGCTTAAAGATGCTGAGGAATTCATCAACGGAATGCTGTTCAAGCCAAATGCTTTCGGGTGGTGCTCTTTCCTCGGGGCTTGCAGGGTCCATGGCGACACAAAGAGGGGAAAATTCGCGGTGGAAGAATTGATCAAGCTTGAACCTGAAAACATTGGAGCTATAGTTTTGCTCTCGAATCTGTATGCGAAGGAAGGGAAATGGGAAGAAGTGAGGAGGTTGAGAACAAAAATGAGAGAAGGAAACCTGCAGAAATTGCCTGGTCATAGTTGGGTTGATGTTGGAAACAAAACTCATGTTTTTGGAGCCGAAGATTGGTCTCATTCTCGGCGGAAAGAAATATACGAGAAGCTTGATAGTCTTCTTGTGCAGATACAGAAAGCTGGATATGTTCCTTGCACTGATTCTGTGGCAGTTGATATGGATGATAGTGAAAAGCAGACGCTTCTTCATCATCACAGTGAGAGAGTAGCCATTGCATTTGCTTTATTAAGTATGCCAAATGGGAAACCAATAATTGTGAAGAAAAACTTAAGGGTTTGTGTCGATTGCCATTCTGCAATCAAGTACATTTCTAAGGTTGTTGGGAGAAAGATTATAGTCAGGGATACTAGAAGATATCACCATTTTGCAGATGGATCATGCTCTTGTGGAGATTACTGGTAAGTGGTAAAGGTTTTGGAAGGCCTGAGATTCATTGGCCATAAGTAAAGTTTATACAAAATGTTGTTATTTGTTTGTTGCTTTGCCATAAACATGTTCTCTAATTGATGTTTAAGCTGCCATGCAAATGGTCTTTTTGACAGTTATTTAGCTAACAGGGTCAGGAAAGTGTGAATACCGACAAGCATGATTAAAAAATGATGCAAAAAGACATCTAACCCTTGACCCTTAATGAGTAGAACTTGGAAGAGGCATTCCATTTTTGTATTTCCCTTTAAACACCTCAAAGTCTTTTATTCCTCGCATTTCTATATAGAGTAAAAACAACAACACTAATTGCAATCCCAATTTTTTTTTTTAATACCAATTTAAATAACGGTGAATTGCCATTCTTTTTCTATTAGATAGATGTAATTTTTTATCATTAATTGACGAAAAAAATTTTTAAATACATACTTATAAAAATATAAAAACTCACATGTTACGTCAATTAGTATAAAAAAGTTGAATTATAGTTAGGATCTTTAGCATTATTCTTTTGAATATTGTTTTCTTTGCTAACGAGAAAGGACATGCCACTCGTTCTATTTCTATGATAGAATAGCAATTTGTTTTTTATTTTTTATTTTTTTTATTTTTTATTTTTTTTTATAACAAGCCATTTGAATATTTTACGGACAAAAGAGGCAAGGACAGTAGTTCTTCCTTTTTACAAGATAAGATAGTCTTGGCCCAATCGTTTTGTTAGTTTGAATCACAACTTAAATTTTTATTATAGTATTTTTTTCATAAAAGTTTAAATTTTAACTTTTTGTACAATATTATTTTCTTTCACGTAAAATCACTTTTCAACTTCTATTCATTAGTTTTGCTAACTTCATTTCCCATTTTACTTATACAGAATTAATTGCTCACCTGTAAAAATACCTCTCCAGGAAATATAAATGAGTTCACCTTTTTATATTGTAATTTAAGACATTAAAGAGAGCTTAGGCTTTCAGAAATGGTCACAAACGCTTGGTAAATAAACGAAAAATCTTGAACCATAAATGGCTCTACATGACTCTTTAGAAGGCAAATTCTATACAAGGCAATCCATTCAAATCTGATGGATTAAGAAAAAACAGGCTGAATTCTTTGGCACACAAACAAACCTAGAACAAGTTATTATCCACTACTCAGTACCAGTATACCTGCTATATCTCATGGCAAACCACTAAACAAAGAGGGCACAGGTGTCTACTACCTACAAGGCGTATTTGGAACCCTAAGAAGGGATGCTGAATAGAGAAGGAACGACATTCTTGGGAATTGGGATAAAGCATATCAGGCTCTTGGATAACGTGAACGTCCTTTCTTCTTTAAGAAATCGGGAATTTCCACTGAGCTACCGTCGGTAAAAGAGGATGGCCGCCGATTGATTCCGAGGCCAATGTCGCCCTGTGCCTGCATTTAAATGATGAGAAAATGAGAGAAATTCCAGTAGGTTTTGAGAAAATGTGTGAAAAAAGAGGGAGAGTTACGTGACAAACAAATACTTAGGGGCGCCACTGGTGTTGAGAGCCACAACTAACAAAGAGTGACCATTATCTATTAGTGTGTGGTGTTGAACACTAGTGGTGTCCTTTAGCTTTGTTCTAAGTAATACCTGGATTGGCCTTCCTTCACTTTCTTCTTGGCGTTTAAATCCGGTTGCGATCAAAGTTATGCTGACCTGCATAAGAATAAGCCAAAGTATTATTGCATCTATGGAATGACGACTTATGAAGATAAGTTAAACGAATAAATTTTTTTTCCACGCACTTAAGAATGAGAGAGGACTTACTTGACCACTGAGTGATGGATCTATCACTGCTCCAAATATTAAATTTGCAGTTGGATCCACAAGGTCATATATAACCTCTGCTGCAGCATTTACCTACCATAATACACATTACCAAAGAATTAGAAGTTAAAGAGGAGCCGAAGTGGGAAAAGAGAGAAAGGCGGGCGGGGGTGCCGCGAGGAGAGTGGGAAGCACCTCGAATAAGGTCAGATCAGTTCCGCCAGTTATGTTCCACACAATTCCAGTTGCCCTCTCAATACCAATATCTAGTAAAGGTGATTGGATGGCATTTAAAGCGGCGTCTCTTGCCCTGGTCTTCCCTACTCAAAAGCAAGCACCAGAAAATGAATATCAGTATATAAGAGCATTTGAACACAACAGAACCACAATCTACCTGTTTCCTATATTTTGGCAATAATGAAGGTGCACTAGCCTGCAGGAATTTTAGCTAGCCATATGTAAGGCCAGGCAAACTTAGAATACAATGACCACTTAACCAATTTAGTTTCATCCTACAGATCAATTATGATCTTTCCTTTTCCTGGTCTCACAATAAAAGAAGTTCAAGATTTTCCTAATGCCAGTTTTTGACCATTTAATTACCAAAAAAAGGTTATAAACCATGGTGCTATAAAGAGGAAAACAAATTTGGTCTTAGGAAAAAGTAAATAGAAAATCAAGCAATGCCTCTATCATGATATCAAAGTGGAAATGGGTAGCTAAAAAAAGTTACCAGTTGCAGTTCCTATTCCCATCAACGAAGAACCAGCATTTGCCATTATAGCCCTTACATCAGCAAAATCCACATTTACAAGCCCTGGTACCTGCAGTTAAAGTAGCCCACCACCAATTAAACAAAAACATGTTCCGTATTTACCAGCCGAATGCTTGCAAGCTTTTAAGGTAGGAAAGCCTTGAAATATCCATACACTAATGTGATTTTATGTGAAAAATAGCAAAAAATTGTAAATAGTGCAATCTTACATATTGACCATCAGTCTCCATACCGTGATTATATCAGAGATACCACGAACACCTTGTCGAAGAATATCATCAGCAAGGTTAAACGCTTCTGTTACTGGGGTGGACTGGGAAACTGCAGTCAATAACTTGTCGTTTGGAATGACTATCAGTGTATCAACATTCTCTCTTAAAGCAGCTATTCCTTCTTGTGCTTGAACTGCCCTCTTTCGTCCCTCAAAAGAGAAAGGGGTTGTGACAATACCAACAGTCAAGATTCCTATTGACTTTGCAATCCCAGCAATTATAGGTGCCCCACCAGTGCCGGTGCCTCCACCCATTCCAGCCTGCACAAGACATGAAAAGTGATTTACAATCACAAACTTCTTAAAATAAGTATGTTTTACAGCATAGCAACCTAAACCAGTTTCAGCTGGGAAGTCATAATGGATGCCAACAGAACCTACCGTAACAAAGACCATGTCGGATCCATGAAGTGCTTCCTCTATTAATGCTCTGCTTTCTTTTGCGGCATTCATGCCTATCTCTGGGTTCCCACCAGCACCAAGCCCTCTGGTAAGCTCTTGACCGATTTGCAAACGGTTTTCTGGAAACACAGGCGACATTCTCATGGCTTGAACATCTGTGTTAACGATCCAGAACTCAACACCCTTCATTGAACTCTCTATCATGCGATTAACTGCATTCGACCCACCACCACCAACACCAATAACCTTGATTTTTGCTTCGTTGTATTTGTTCGAACCGGATTCATCTCCTAAGCTCTCAGTAACACCTCCACCCAAACTCTCTTTCCTCGGGTTGTTGACACTGTTGTTCCCTTCCCTAAGCATCGAAATCTCCGGGTGTAGATTCAGAAAAGGGTCTTTGCGTTGGTATGGACTAACACTGTGAGAGTTGGAAGAACACTTAAGTTGATGCAAATGTGACTTTTGGCTTCCACCAAAAAGTCCATACTTGTCCTCCAATCCTTTCATACAAACACTTCTTCCAAAATGGTTCTCAGCTGGTGCTCTACCTCTAAGTACAGTGAGCACCCCTGCCGGGTTTCGAGTATCAGAAAGGGTAAAATAGGCCGACGTATAGGTAGCCATCTTATAACAGTAAAACTCAGATCTCAGAGAAAGGTAAGCTGATAAACGCCGTGAAATTTACAGACCCAAATGGCTTAAAATTTAAAATCCTACCACAAAACTACCCTCCAATAACAATACCTGTTTACCAAAAAAAAAAAAAAAAACAGCCAACAAAAGATAAACAGTCAAAACCTCGGATTAAGGAAAGAATAATCTATAATTCCACTAAAGGGTAAATAATTGACCCAAATAAGAAGCAAGAACAAGAACATTAGAACCCGATAATATAGTACATAGAACAAACAATCAAGCCAATAAAAAAAACACTAAAACTCCTGCAAAATCAACTAGCTGAGAGAAAAAAAACTCAAACGCAACAACAGTAAGTCACAGAAAAGAAATAAATCCCAGTTACAATGAGCAACAAATGCTGATAATATCTGGCAAAACAAGAGAACCCCATTAATTGTATCGAAACATAGAAGGAAATGAACAGAAAATGGCACCTGGGTTTCAGAGAAAAACACGCGAGAAAGCTGGAGAGACCTTGGAAATAGGAATTGCAGAGAGCATTTGGTGGGCGCTGAGCCCAAAGTGGATCGAAAATTGAAATGGGGTTTAGCTCCTTCGGCCTTGGACTTGGACTCTCTACGGACAGACAGCAGCGGACTAGAGAGAGACTAGCGGTAGCAGGTGTGTCCCAAATTTTTCTCTTTTTTTCCCCTTTTTATTTTATTTATTATAGTAATAATAGGGGTTTTTTTTTTTTTTTTTGGGGTGATAAAATGGTGTGGGGGAGGTCAGAGGGAGAACGAGCATAAAAAATCTAGTGAATGGACCAAACAAAAACTACTTTTTCAGCTAATGTCATGTGGGCAGGCTCACAAGGCAACGATTTTGATTGAAACCTCGTGTCCTAATAAGTTAATTTCATAGGCCCCGACTGATTTAGCTACTGAAAACCAAAGGAAAAGGGGGCCTTGTGATAGTGAACATCATCATCAGTATTACGCTTAGTTTGTTTCGCTATTTAAATTACAACTCAAATTTTTTATTTTAATGTTTTTTTCACAAAAATTTTAATTAAAATTTTTTTATTATAATATTTTTTTTTTACATAAATTCTTTTTTTAACTCGAACGAACGAAATAAACATGGCTAATCATTACTTATTTTTAAATTATCGTTATAGTTGAGAGTATTTATAGTCTCCCAAATTAAAGACATAACTATAGTTCTTCAGTGCTGCAATATTTAAACCTATTCTTAGTACATAATAAAAGCTGAAACATTTTTTAAACATTTTTTTTCTTTGTTTTTTTGTCATGGAAAAATAAATGTAACTTTTAGCAGCATCATTTTGGTTGGAGACAAGGGGTGAGGCCATATCGATGTGGCTTGCAGTCAATAGAATGAGCCCGCGTAGAACGTGGCACAAGATGAAGTTCCCTTTCGTCAATAACATCACGAGATTGGAATCGAATAAAGGTTAATGCGGAGAAATGATTGATTTTTATACTTTCTTTGAAGAAAAAATCTTATCTTTATTGACTAAGTAAATCTCATATTTATGGATTAAATAATTAAAAAATCTCACGTTTTCCGAATAAATCCAATTATTCTTTTAGTATTGGTAAATTCAACTATTTATCATAATTTAAAAATAAAATATTCACCCCCCACTTCAAATTTCCTAAAACTGCTTCTTTCAAGCCTTTTAAGGTTCAAGTTTCTCTAACAATAATTGATTGCAACTTAGCGGTCTAGCTGTAAATCTGTAGTACCTCAACAGTAGAGGTTTAGAATTCGAATCCCATCTTAAAAAAAAAAAAAAAAAAAAAAAAAGCACATTATAGTAGCAAGAGTGATATAACCAACTACCTTTGTTGTAAAGCATCTTTTAAGAAGCTTACAAATATTCATAGAGCCATATTTGTGCTCATATGGTAGTAAAAAATATGTTGGTAAATGGCCAAGTAATTTTGGTTAGACTCAGAATACCAATAGGCATATTGGAAGCAAAAATATGTGTGGGAGTTATGTTTCTACTTCCTACATGAGCAGCTCAGTTTGCAAAATGTTACAATATGTAACTTCAGGAAATGCTGAACATTTAGACTACACTCCAATCTCCATTTACCAAGGACACAACAAAGAGATTCAACCTTGAGTAGTTTTTCTTGCAAGACAGTGTATATAGCTATACCTTCCTCAATCCCGAAAACATTGATGAATTACTCATGCTTCTCCTGAGGGTAAGTGCTGTGAAAGACAAAATATGAAGCATAGAAGCCTGTGGTTCCAAGTATTAGGAAGAAGGCATAAGAGATGCAGGCATTGTATCCCAAAAAGCGGAGCAGCGTTGCGTCTCCAACGTTGGGAACTCTGGAGAAAAAGTAGATGCCATACACGAACATGAAAATGGCTGGTGATCCCCCGCAAAGGACAGATCTGCGTGTATGAATGTACAACTTTAATTGAGCAATCTTTCTTTTAGGAATAATTTGGCCATTTATATGATGAAGAAATAATTAGTGATGTGTATATATACCTCCACCACCACTGATGGTCATGCTTGGCAAACTGGTAGCTTGTGGTGACGATTGCTACAACCACAGTCAGTGTGATGACCACGATGAATGAAGTAAGCATAAGGTGAAACGCTCCGCATATCTTGAAATGCCACAAGCTCGCATAGATATTGTCCATCTCCGGGAACATTGCGATTGAAGGTAAAAGGGCTCCGAAAAGCATCTGAGCTGGTGTCTTCATGTACCAAGACTCCAGAGGAATGTCTCTCGGAAGTCTTCTTGTAGTACAAGGTGCTTCAGATTCTGTTCTGAAACAATGAGCAAGGGTGCCGCCTAGACTTACGAGAACGACGGTGACAAGTCCCCAAACGACAAGGTTTTCACATATGATGCCAAGTTCAGGTACCGCTGACATCCCAGACCTTGTTATTACTAAACCATTTGCAATAACTGCTGTTGTTAGCGCTGGAATAAAGTATACTGTTCCAGCTTGGAAAGTGCATTCTTTCTGGAAAGAGAGAGAGAGAGAGAGAGAGAGAGAAATAAAAAAAATAAAAATAAAAAAACATCAGAGTTGTAGAAAATATAGCGAAGAAATATAACAGAGGAAGGATTAGTATACTGGGATTAAAATTATGTAGAGCAATTACCCAACCAACTGGAGTGAACTGGCCATGAAATGAAGTAGCCTTGTAGCCAGCAACCACAGACGTAAAACAATATGTCCGCAAGATCACAGAACAGAGTGATTCGAGATCGCAGGGATGCAGGAAACCTCTATATGCCAAAATGAAGAAGATGCAAATCCTGCAAAATGGCGGTTTTACTCATTAGCCCTGTTAATTGCTATCTAATAAAACCTGCAAAATGGCGGCTTTTCTTATTAGCACCGTTAATCACTATCTAATAAAACTTTCAGAAATTTGAAACTGCCATTAGTTGTTGATGATAAAATCAGAATGCAACCTAAAACATACGCATGTGTTTTTCTTAGATGTCCTTTAACGTTGTCTGTGTTTTAATTAGGAATCGTCTAACTAGAGTATTTAGACTGTATGTAAACATGTATTGTAATTTTCTTTACGTTTAATATACGCAATGAATACTGTCAAGTGTCAAGACTAAAAGCTGTAAACAATAAATGACCTGAAAGGGCAGATTCTTATGATTAACTAGATCACTACTGAAGTTCTCTTTATTGGACTCGAATGCAGAAGCAGTTTAAAAACCAGTAGATTGTTGAAAAAGATCAATTACGAAATAAGCAGCTGAATTCCATTCCCCAGGATGGCACCAAGCAATGATGTGTATTTAGGACAAATGCAGGTGTCACCACGAATGTACTGTGGACATTTTGAATGTCCCCCCTCTCTATTAGAGCACCTGCAGTACAAGTGAAGATCTCAGCTGAATAAATGTCAACGGGTAGCTTCGAACTAGGCATAAAATCGAAAAAGAAATCATACCGCATCAAATACTTCATGAGGTATGGCAGAGTCACTATAAGAATCAAGCCAACCCATAAGAGAGTGACATTTGCCCAGATCATCAATGCTGACATCCATTTATGATCATCATCATTTTTAGGCCTGTGATCTTTCTCATGTAGGGTCTTATTCAACGGAAGACTGGTATCACCATCTACTTCAGTGCCGTACCAGTAAACCGAATAAGAGAAATTGACTTTGATATCAGCAGCTTCAGTTATATCGACGTTAAAGTGTGGGTTGCCCGAAATGTACATTTCTGTAACTTGGTTCTCTGAGTAATGTACATGGAAGTCGATGCTTGGAACTAGAAAGTACCTTGGTTGTGTGCGAGAAGACCCATCATCGTCAATGAATCCGACACTTTCCCGCAAGGTAAAGTTGTTATAGGCCATCTCGTATACAAAGTTTCTTCTTATAGCATCCTTAAACTTTTCCACATCATCTTTTCTTAGACTTTTATCACAAAGGATTTTATCATTGGCATCCTCCCTAAATTTCAACTCATACTTCGTCACGGCGTGGCAATCCCCCGCTAAAACCTGTTTTAGTGATTTCTTCGCGTAGTTTATCGTTTCTGTAGTCAGCCCAACGTGAGAAGGACAAGGTATCAATCTTAAGACCTTATTAACTTATCAAGAGTGGAATCTCCAATATTTCTTCGGTTACTTATACACAATATGTCCATATTCCTTGTTAATAAATAAGTCCACAACCTAAGTTAGCTCTTTAATGCGGAGCAAGCGCAAAATAACACCATTGAACAGTTGCATCAACGAATCAGATCATTTAAGGAACATAATATCTAACCATTTAATTGCAAGAAAATTATCAAGCTAACAATGGAAATAAGCATTTACCTCCCGCGGGGCAAAATGGGAAGTCAAAATACGGATATTGCTCACTGCAAGTGGTGAATATTTGAATCGTTAATCACATGAACTAATCAGAATTTTCATAGATTTTATCTAGAAAGTCTTGTGCTCCAAAGTATTGAAAGAAATTCAGATTTTAGATTTCTGTTAAGCTCTAGTTACTTTATCTAGCATTTTTCTTAGCAGCAAAGCATCCGGTGATTACTTTTTCTGTGCTGTGTTGGCTGCTAAGAAACTGCAGGAAAGTAAACAAAATCTGAGCACCAAAGCTTAAAAACTTATCCTAAATTAGATCAATGGATACAAAGAGCTCCGTTCAACATATAGATTTATAATTCCAGGTCATAATCGACTTTCTTTTTCTGAAAACATGAAATAACAACGACAAAAGCACGAATTTAGATTTCAGATTTCTACATCACTACTTCTTCTACCAGTGCCGTTTGGCTACTGAGAAAATTTAGGAAAATTAAAAAGAAAAAAACCTGAGCACCGCACTTACCAGACATATATGATTCCAAGTAAAATCAGCTTTCACGTTCTTGAAAACAGAAAATAATATTTCCTCAGAAACAAACAAGTTCAAGATGAAAAATAAAGAAAAAGCGACTCCAGATCTTGAATCACATTACGCCGACACTGCGATACAAAACCTCACGCATATACATATACATATATATATATATAGCTACAACGATCGGAGTGAGAAAAGCGCGCGTCGATCATTCAAAACAGAAATAAGAAAGTGATAAAAAGTTCGATGATCAGTACCAAGAAGCTTCGAGAGTACGAACACTGTTGGCCAAAACATAGAGTCGATCTCCTTCTTCATGAAAATTTTCCGAAGAACTCCAACGATCAAAACCGCTTCGTCGCGAGGAGATTACCAGAGGCACCGCCATAGCCATCAGTACCAGAGCCGAGATAATCTTTCTGCGTTCAACCGCCATGGATTTTCTCGGAAGAAAACAAGGAAGAAAATGAGAGAGAAATCTAGTTCGAAGAGGTTGTGTTGATAATAATGGAGGGAAAATCTGTCTCAAAATGATTTCAACTTCTTTTTTTTTTTTTTTTTTTTTTTCAGAAATCAGTTGTCCTCTATTACTGTAAGAAAATTAGCGTAACAGAAATTAGTTTTGGAGGCGATGATCGGTTCACATGTTGGTCAGAAGTGTTATGTCAAGGAAGGTATTCTATTGATCCACGTGTCTGACAGGAGACATGAGGGCATGAACAGATGTATTAACAAACGACAATATCTTGATAAACGGAAAGAAAAAAACGACAATGATCAAAAAGTCAACACGACGATGGATATAAAGAACCATAAACGACAAGTATTTGTCAGACGACAATAACTAAACAGGACAAAAACTCTGAAAGTCACAGCAACTATAGAAACCAACAGCGTATTCAAAGACGTCATTTTTTTTTCTCCTTTTCAAATGATGATTGATTGATAAAGGACGTCAATCTAAGAACAAAAAAAAAACAAAAAAATCTGCAAGAGTAAAAGATGACAAGTTGGCAACAAGTATAAGAACGACGATATCCTTGAAAAGATGTGAAGTATTGTAGAACGACAATAACAATAAATATAATAATTAAAGGCACATTTAGTTTGTTAATTTGAGTTGAGATATGATTTTATGTGAAAATTTTTTACTGTAATAAAAAAGTTATATGTCATTGTTTGTGAGAGTTTTTTACTGTAGTAAAACTCAAATTCTAAACTCGAATCAGTAAAATAAATGTGACTTAAAGAATCAGCAAAATTATTTTCAGTGAATTTCGTAGGCCTAAGTTTGTCTGATAAAAAATGGATCATCTCTTGAATAAGGGGAAAGAAAAAAAAAGGCAAGAAAAAACCCCTCTTGAATAGCCTTAAAAAAAAAAAAAAAAAAAAAAAAAAAAAAAAAAGGGGGGGGGGAAAAAAAAAAAAAAAAAAAAAAAAAAAAAAAAAAAAAAAAGGGGGGATGAGAAGAAATTGATATGTAGCTGCAATATATTGGATTTGAATTTTCCTCAAGTTTGTGCTTTGTATAGTTGACGCTACGATTTCTTTTCCGCTTTTCGCTTATGTTTTCTCATAGAACTGCAAAATTGTTGCCTTCTTTTTGAGTTGCCATGTGGTTTTCTAACTATAGTGCGTATAATTGTATATAATATACGCCATTGGTGGCGCGCCACCGTGAAAAGCGGTAGTGTAGGAAGGTTGCCACGGGTAGCCGGAGGTGAGATGGCAAATCACGATATTTGAAGTCAGACATTTGTTAGGCAGATTGGTAGACTTGAATGAAAACGACAGAAATGTGAGAAAACAACAACAGAATGAAAAGCGACAAGCATTCGGAAACGCAATAACATCTAGAAAAGAACTCAAACGAAAACAAAGTGAAAACTGACAAAAGAATGAGAAACGACAGTAGCATTTCAAATAGACGACACGACAGCCTGATAAACGAAAATAAATAAGAAAGGTACCGTGTTTCGAGGGGAAAAAAAGCACCATAAAAACGACAATGAGATAATGAATGAAAACCACGAGAAAATATCAAAATGAAAATTATTATAGAAACAACAACATATTTGAATACAAGTACCTAACAAATATACGGAAAACAACGGTTGCATTTATTTAAGAAACGGCAACCTCTTGAAAACGAAGATTTTTGTAAAACAACGATATTTGACAAACAACAGTAAACTAAAATGATATTTGACAAACAACAATAAAGTGTAGGTATTAGTTTGAGTCTTTTAATACTTTATAAGATGATATAAATAATGCAGAGATGTAAAATGAAAGAACTCGAGAGAATTAGTATCGCAGTTTGGTTATAATCTACTCTGCGGGGCGTCGCCCAGATGATTAACAATCCACTAAGAACTCTTTTACAATTCAATTGGACTTAATCTACCCGAGATTCCCTTTCTAAGAAGACGCTTATGAATTTGTAATTTCTCAATAGACTTCAACAGTGAGATCCCCTCAACTTTTTTAACATTAGAATCTATCCAACTAAGTTTCTCTCCCGAAAAACACTCAAATCATCTCTCTGAATACAAGTGCTCACCCATGTCTCACAACCCAGAAAAAACTAATCAAAAGGTGTTCAAAGACTCAAGAGACTCTTTGAATAAATAAGCAAAATGTGAACAGCTTGACGACCTCTTCAATTAATTCGCTGAACCAAATCTATTGTAGTTCCTTGTTGCAACAATAACTGTAACATAGCTGTCAGGGTTAGCTCACACAAAATCAGTCCAAATCAATCTGCTTAAATCTTGAAATCTTTTCGAAACTGATATACAAATATGGACACATTCCTAGGAGACAGAGAAAGATCATCCAGTTACAGAAACTCAATTAAATATCAATCAAATCACCAATTATCAATTTACCATTTTTGGATTAATAGTTGACTTTCAAAAACAAAAACCATATTCAGTTTCCAGATCTGCAGAAACTTTCTAAAAAGAATTGTCCATCTGCTAATCTATTCTCAATCAAAATCAACCAGTCAATCATTCTCAAAATAATGTTAATCATAAAGCGATCCGAATCAATACAAAATTTAGAAAAAAAATCTCAACAATATCCCCCTTTGGCATTGTTTTGGCAGAACTTAAAAATGGAAACTGAAACATAATAACTTTCATAAAGTTAACCAGCAAAAAAACAAATCAGAAGCAAAATAGTAATTGTCTCCACCTAGTTTAAGAAAAACTCCCCCTAAACTATACCTACTCCCACTTTTTGATAAAAAAAAATGCTCAAAGTGATCAACTGTCGGTGAGCAGTATGAAAAGATGATGGAGAACCCTGAGTAGGAGAAGAAACGGGAGCATTGGTAGGAGCAGAGTTGTGCCGCGGAGCAGTTGAAGACGAAGAATGATGAAAAGTAGCCAACAGTGCCTTAAGTTCAGTCTCCTTGGCAGAGAGATGAAGTTGTTCCTCAGCTAGCTTTTTTTTTTTGAGGTGAACCTGTTGCAGCTCAATAGAAAGAAACTTGTAGATACGAGATGAATCACCTGTTGCAAAACTTGTTGTAACATCAGGTGCAACATGTGAAGAAGCAGCTTGCTCCCCCTTAATATCATATAGATGTTCTCTTTTCAGCAATTTCAGAGAAATCTTCATAGGAGCTCTTAGTTGAACAATAGAGTCTGTGTCCTCAATCAGGTCTGCTTATTGAGAAGTGAGAATATCATGGATTAAACACGGAAAAGGAAGAATTTTTGTGCTCACAGGAGCACTGGCATATAGAACAATTTCTTCAAAAATGTGCCTGCCTATGTCAAAAACCATGCCAGTACCCAGGAGATATAATAACAGTGCCAAATCTCTTGTCACGGTGGTAGGATGCAAAGAAGGAAGTCAATTTGCTAGAGCAATCTTGTGAAGGACTGAATATTTAACAGTGAGCTCTGCAAATCTAAGAAATCCAGACCATTTAATATTTTTCCCAGTGATCTCAGAGGCGACATCATTCATGTCCTCATCTCCATCAAGTTTT